GCAGCCAGGGAACATGTGTCCTGTCATTGCTGTTGCCCAATCCACTGGACTTTTATCTCCATCCAACGACATAATAAGTTTACAATATAACTTTAGCTTGCTTGCATGTTTTTACTTTTAGCCTTTTATGCTCACTTTTCTCTAGCTTTGTTGTCAATTGCTCGCTATATATTGTTTTTGAAAGTGTCGCTTGGTTACTCAGCAAGTTAAGGGCTGCACTGCAACGAAAATAATATCGCTGGCAAGAGACAACAGCTCGGGGAAAGTAAGCACAATAGTTGCTGACGGTCAAGCTAAACAACCCCCCTTTAGCTGTTTTATCATCACTAAATCACAGCTTTTGTTGACTTATTGTTTAATACTCCTACTACACTCGGTGGCATGCTTCAGATCTTTTTGCAAATGGCAAAGAACTCCAAAGTCTCCACACTGCAGAGGGTTGATTCTGTGTTTCTATGTCCTGATAGGGTGGCGATTCAGGGTGAATGTGACGCTGCCTTGTACGTTAGGGGTGCGGAGTACAATGCAGCATCAGAGATTTCTATTCATTATCCACATATCTATTGTCCCGGTACACCCGGGGTGAAGGGCGTCACAGGGCCATGTCAGATTATTTTATTTATTTATCCAGAGGGAAAACTCAGGACCAAAATCATAATAAAGTTAATAACTACATTAAAGTTGAAATGTATGAACTAAAAAGTGGACCTATAGTGTTATGTTACACTTTGAGTAGTATACTGAGCTCAGTTTTAGAGGAACAGTGATTACAGAGAGGCTGACAGTTCCCTCGTTATGGCCCAATCAGGAGGATTTTTTGCTATGAGACAGGTTGCCAACTGAAAATATACCATTCTCATTTTTCAAAATAAGTCTCATCTTTGTCTTCAATAGTCTAGCTAGAGGGGTGATCCAGTCTCAGTCTCCCATGAACAGAAATACACAAACAATCTGCTGCACCTTCTATGAAGCCCCTTTCCAACATTATTTTCTTTTCATTCTTCCTCTTCCCTTCTGTCTCTGTATATGTTGTGACACCTCCCCCTTGTGTTCATGCTCGGTACTAAGCACTGCATCAGCTACGGGGAGGATCCAAGGGTGGAGCTCCACCTCGCTGTGCTTTGCCAGCAGGCACAGGTACATTTTTTTTTTTTAAAAGACTGTAAGCCAAAGCCAGCAAAGCAAGTAGAGGCTGTCTGGAAGTTGCCAGTGGTTGAAATGAGGCTGTGCAGTAAAGACAATGGACGGCACAATCAAGCAGCCAGATGTTGCTCTTAACTAAATGATTTTAGGGGCCTAACTAACAATGGGGAGTCTTGTTGCTGATCTGTTTCTGCTCCTGCTGATTTCCACAGGACACGTTTATGCAGGTAAGGCACTGCAGAAGGTAACATGCAAAAGTTACCTGAGAACAATTATTCCACATCATTTGGTGCATGATTTGTTGCATTGTTATAACTGATAATGCTGTGAAAATGTTTCCCTTTCTAGAAGCACGCCAAATGCATGAAACTACAGTTTTTAATGGTTGTTAGTGCACATTCAGTAAAGTCAACATTTAACATTCACACACAAGCTGTGGTTGTTGTCCTGAAGTTAATGCCATCAACCTTCAATGAATTGGTGCAGGAGATGATAGGAATATCGTTACAAATGCAGTTTTACAGCAATTGATTATAGGTTAAAATGTGTCTGTGAGAGTTGGCAGCTTAATGTCTAATAATGTCTAATATTGTCTGCAGATATATGGCAATATGCTGCTGAATTCAGGGTTGTAATTAGACATCCGATGTCACTAAATGAGTTTGGTTGTTAAAAATTTTCCACTGGTGGTATCTGCTCATGACAGCGCATTAAAGACCTGCACTCACATTCAAGGTGTGTCCGTCACTGTAGGAAGATTACTAATAATCCAATGTTCACTGGTATCATAGAGGCAGATTAGAGATAGATGGACAGGCATGGGTTGTACTGACAGCAGGCTTATAGGCTTTATGCAGAGCGGCATGCTGGGACGGCCCGCTGACTGAGTGCTTCTGACAGGGACCAGTCTACCAAATGTGTTTCTTTTTTATTTATTTTGCAGGCAGTGCATTTCCCTACCAGGAGGGATTTAAAGGCAATAAAATAATAAGCCATAATGTTAAATGGTTGTAATTTCCCTTCAGGCAACAGACTAGCATGTGTTGCCGTCTGGCTGTTATTTGTGTGTGTGATGTGGGAACGTAAATCATTGGCTGCCATGTAATTTCACTGCTGCACACAGTAGCTTTTGAGAATAACTTGTTCATAAAATGTTGCGGTTCGTTGTTTCTCCCCCTCTGGCCAAAAAACTCTTTTATCTGACTCTGATGTGTAAAACTCTCTCTGTGCTTTCATTTGAATCATTGAAATACTTCTTTAATTTCTATCTGGTGTTCAGTCTCATATAGAGTTTTAAGAGTGTCAGCCATCCCTAACCACACACACACACACACACACACACACACACACACACACACACACACACACACACTCTCTCTCGTTCTCTCTGTCTCTGTCTCTCTCTGTTTGACCTCTACTTGCTATGTGTTCAACAAATTGATCATTGTCATTTTAACAAAGTGCTCCAATAGCTGCAACAGCTGCTTTGTAGGTCAAATTGATTGAAATGAAGACTGTTTTATTGTTTTTTCATTCATAGATGTGTCCTGGGTTCACTGGCTTCACTATTAATACAAGTACAGTGTCATAATTACATATAGACACAATTATAAAACCCTAGAATGAAAAAGTGTTGTATCTAATTTATACAGGGGCTTTAGACTAGGGACAATGAATAGACGGTTGGCTGATTGGTATCTCAACCACTATTAGATAGATCGCATACAAATTTCTATAAAAACTCAGGGTTCCACGATTTTGGAGACCCCGTAACTTTTGACCTTGAGTACCACCATCAGGTTGACCTTTGTGTTGTTTTCACTCCAGGAATTATACCTGATAAACTTCAGCATGCCAGTATTGTAATTGTGAGCATGTTAGCATGCTGATGTTTGCATTGCACTCCACTGGCATGGCTGTAGACTTTTAGCTAAATGTTGGAAATTCAAACTGGCTGATATCTGGCATAAGGATGCAATATTAATGTAATATCAACAGTCGTTAATTCATTTAAATAGTGGTCCTTTTCACATTTTTATTTATATTTGGATCACGGGTTCTCAATTTGAGTTAGCTACGTGTGCTGTGTGATCGCGCTTTCAGAGCAGTTCTGTCTGAGAAATGTTTACTAAATGTCCAATCTGCGTCATTTGGGTCAACGGTGAACTCTCTTTTGGTGTCAGAACATGACCCGCTCCAGAGTGCATTAGTTGTCATTAATTGATTCGGATAGCAGGTTTAAAGTGCAGAGCAGACACCATATTGGAAAGCTGGTCAATACAGATTAATGGAATAGCCTCTGCTGGGAGAATGCCTTTGGTCACCAAATGTTAATTTTATTATTTGTTTTTTTTAATATACAGATATAAAAGAGATTGAATGAGCCGACTATTCTGGCAACAGCTAAAACCTCTACTTCTTACCTGTCTTCATGTTCATTGTTGTAGTGTCATTCTACGGGGATGGATACATCCACCTGCGGACAGTGGAGGCGTCCATTCAGACTTTGCTCCATGTGCGTTTCCGAACCTCCAGTCCGGCGGCCATGCTGTTTTTGGCAGCTGGACGCAGAGACTTCTTGCTGCTGGAGCTCCTCTCTGGGCGCCTGCAGGTAGGCATAAGGACATGTTAGGACAGTAGCGCACGTGTCTAAAGCGACTGACAGGAATCTATTCATGGGTGACAAACAAGCAAGACATGTTTATTGTCCATTTAAAGAGCAAAAATGGTATGGTTTGGTTGGGGAAAGACCATTTGGATTTTAGTCATATAAGTACAAATGAGTCCAAATAAAATTGGTTCGGTGGCTCTCACTTAAAAATGCCTCACACCTTCAAAACAAGAGGAAATATGTGTCCCTTGGGCCATTCTAGCTCATATATTTCCATTAACTATCCGAAGGAGAGACAGAGAGAAGTCTGAACACACACAGCTCGGTGTTGGATTGCTCGCAGAGAGAAAAAAAAATATCCCCCTGGCACTTTCAGAACAAGTTCCTTCATGACCAACGTTAAGAGAGAAAAACTCCCAAGTACACTGCAAGGGAGCAACTCATAAAAGAGTTTGGGTACTTTTGTGTGGAATAATGCAACACAGTTAACGAGTCCCTTGATTCTGTTTTGAATTGTGCAAATTGAAGATCTCATCATCATGTTATGCTTGCTTTTATGTTTTGCTCTCTCTTACTAATTCAAGTTTGTATTTTTTTTGGCAAAGAAAATAAATAGAAAGACATTTCATTGGTCTTGGTTATCACCTTTTATTCTTCCTTTGCTCACTCTTTGTCTACTCCCCCTTCATCCCTCAGGTCCGTCTGGACCTGGGCTCAGGTGAGCGTTCGCTACGCTCAGAAAAGGGCATCCATCTCAGCGACCTGGCGTGGCACTCCATGGAGCTGACCCACGACCACCATAATGTCAACATGACCGTGGACCGAAACTCTCATTCCAGCCTCCGTATGCCAGGACCAGACCTGGAGCTCAGTGTCGAGGACGGGCTTTTTGTTGGCGGGACAGCCGGACTGAACCACTCGTTCCTTCTCAACATCTCCGCTGGGTTTCGAGGCTGTGTAGATGAAGTTGTGTTCAATGAATATAACCTGTTGTCAAGCCTAAGGCCTTATTCTGGGTACAAGAGCGTCCACGAGGTATCTCTGGGCTGTAGTCCGCAGTTTTCGGCAACGGAAGAAGATTCCGTTAGCTTTTTCAGCTCTAAAGCTTTTATCTCTCTTCCACCGTGGGAAGTGCCACAGGAGGGGCTGTTTGAATGTGAATTGCACCCCTCATCAAGAGAAGAAGATGGCATGGTTCTCTATAGCTCTGGCAACCAGGGAGGATTTCTTGCCATAGAGCTCAGAGATGGTAACCTGGTGGCAACCGTAGGAAATGCAGAGGGCAGCAAGACTGAGCTGCGTTCTCTAATGTATGTTCACAGCAACCACACGTGGTACCCCATCCAGCTGCACCTGCTGCCCAACAGCATCCAGCTGAAGGTGGGGGAGGAGTTGGTTAAGGCCACCCTGAGTCTGGAGCTCCAGGTCATCCAGCTCAAAGGGCCTCTCTTCCTGGGAGGGCTGGACGAAGAAGCACGGGGAGATGCAAGGCGAGCTGGGTTGTTGTCTGCTGTGCCTGGGGGGCAACCGGCTGGGCGGGGAGGCTCCTTTAAAGGCTGCCTCCGAGGAATTAGGGTGAACACTCAAAGAACAGGCCTACCTCATGCTGCCGTCACCAAGGACATCACTGTAGGCTGTAAGACAAGGCAAGTTCCAGGTATGGTGACCATCTCGAGTCCAACAGATCGTCCCGAGTTTGATGTTACAAAGGCACAACCAGTTGCCAACAATAAGAAGAACGGCAACTTTTTGTTGCTGAGAAAGCTTGAAGTTTTGGAGGGAGGCCGCGCACCACTGGAGCCCAAACACATGAGGGTACGACTTTTAGTTTTCACTTTTAGTTATGCTGACATGTTTCTTATACATCATTGTCAGTAAGAATAACATGGAGTTATGTCGTTTTCACATAATAACCCCAAGTCAGTTCCTATTTGCTCTCCCTTTTAGGTGAATCTGGATTTTCGGAAATTGGGCATTCATCCGTCACAACTGATGTTCCGCATTGAGGGGCAGCCTGTCCACGGCCAGCTCCGGCTGGACCTCAGTCCTGACCCTGATGGGATGCTGGGGGAAGGCCAGGAGAGGACTGTCACACTAGGAGCAGGAGAGGTCGACCGTACTTTCAGTATGCTGGACTTGTGGCAGGGCCGTGTGATATACGTTCACGGTGGTTCAGAGGACCAGCATGACTTCTTCATGTTTTCGGTATTCTCCAGCAAGAAGAAGGCGCTTCCTGTATTTCTGAAGGGTAACCGCCTGCATCGGTTCGATATCAGCATCAGTCCTGTTAATGATGCACCTGTGCTCAGCCTGCCGGAGGGAAACCTTTTCACACTGTTGGAGAAGTCCAAACGACAGGTAGGTCCAGCAGAGTGTAAGTGGGTTAAGGGTAGGGTTATAGCAGATGTAGTACATAATAATTAATTAATATCAAAATATGTAACAATTATTAATATCTCAATTATGAATCATAAACTCTGACATATTCATAAAAAGTGATGGTGTTCAGCTTCCACGATACACCATCAGTTTAACTAACATCATTTTAACATAAGATTTAATTTAATTTATTGTGAAGCACCTTTATATTGGCTTTAATTCAAATTTCTTTTAGATCGTTCGGTCTAAGATATTTCTATCTAAGATCATTTTATTATAATTTATTTATAACAGAAAACCACTCCCATTCTACCAACTGTCCACAGTTAGATAAACTCAGTTTCTTTAAGTCGTTAAAGCACAGCCGGATGTGTCTCTGAGTCTATGAGATGCTCGTCAAACAACTTAGCGCCCTATGGGTTGTGAGAGCAGTTCTTGAAAGAAGTTTATTAGTTAAGATTTTGTCATTGTTGTATTTAATACATTTCAGTTTTATCATCATCTTTCCGTGGATGTTCGCTAAGTATAAAATGAAAATGAATACAGCCACTATGTCCCCAGCTGACAACGGATGTGCTGAGGGTGTGGGACTCTGACAGCAGTCCTGCAGAGCTGGTGTTCAGCTCCCTGGGTAACCTCAAAACTGAGGTTGGACACCTCGAGCACCAGGAATACTCCGGCAGGTTTGTACTGTGGCTTTACAAATAATCACACAACCCACCATGGAGGTGTATTGGATAAGTGGCTGATGTTGATAAAATGGAACAAAATATTCAATGCAAAAATAAATAAACCGTGAAATGCCTGCTGGTGGAACAAAAGCTAATTGTAGAGTGTGGCTCTCTGTAACTGCTAGTTGAATCTGCTGCTACATATCCAGAAACTAACTGACCCTGCACATCTGTGGTTGCTAGATTTTGATATGGGCTTGTCACATTCCACATTCAGTCTATCCACTTGTATACCTTGTTGCATGTGGCCACGTAGCCAAAAGTCATGCAAGCAGCTACTAGATGTGTTAATGTTTTAAATCAGGATTCAGAGTTAGGAATCAGGACATGGAAGTTAACAGGATTGCGTCTATCTTCCAGGGCCATTAACTTGTTCTCACTGAACGATCTGGAGGAGGGTAAGATCTGCTTTATCCACACTGGGGTCCCTACCGCCCGGCTGGCACTCAGGGTCAGCGACGGGCTGAAGGTAAATAATGTATTATCTTGCCGAAAAGGCAATAGCCCCATACATAGAGTTGGGGCCGCAGCGAAAATGCCCCTAGAGCCAGTGTTTTGTCTGTTCTGGACAGCTGTAGAAACAAGTAAGATTACATTACAGTCATTTAGCAGACTCTTTTATCCAAAAAATTCAGATTATATCACATTTCTACATTTTGGGGTTAAGTGTCTTGCTCAAGGACACATCGACATGCGACTAGTGGAGCTGGGGATCGAACTGCCGATCCTCTGATTGAAGGTCGGCCCTGCTATCCACTTAGCCACAGTCGCTGCCTGTTCTTGCATTATTGGATGGATTGCCAGGAAATTTGGAACATTCACACACTCCTCAGAATTAATTGTAATCAACAAAACTAATAACATTTCCATAAGATTTTGCTATGCTTTGTGTTTATTGCTACTTAGCTAATATTAGCAAGCTAACTAACGTGGTGGACATCAATATATTGGCATTATCATTATAAGCATGTAGCATGCTAACGTTAGCGTGTAGCTGAAAGCACAGCTGTTGTTAACTTAATTGTTTTATTGCACACACACACATTTTATGTTTCCATGGTACAACAGTCGATTACTGATTAACCTTCTGCTCCTGTTCATCCAATCTGTTCATTCTGCTCATCTCCTGTTGCTTCCTCTCCTCCCTTGTTTCCTCCTCCTTCATCTCCTCCTCTTTGGTATCATAACATCTGGTGTTTCCCTGTTCCCTAATCCTTTGCACAGTCGAGCAACACAGTGGTTTTGAGGATCATGGCGGTGCCACTCGAACACAAACTGATGAATAATACCGGACTGGAGGTGAACCAAGGCGGGGCTTCCATCATCACAACCACTCAGCTTGCTGTAAAAGTTAATGTGAATGATCCAACAGTGGAAATCCGCTATGACGTTGCAGAGTTGCCACAATATGGTGAGCTCCAGCGGTTGCACTCAAATGGCGACTGGAAACCGACAACTTCCTTCTCTCAGAAGCTTCTAGAAAAAGAACAGATCCGATACCTCAGCACTTACTATGGCGTTCAGACTCCGAGCAACATCACTGATTACTTCAAATGTAAAATCAGCATCGGCTCCCGGGCTACTGAGGAGGTTGTTTTCCCCATCGTGGTGCGCTGGATCCACTTCAAGATCACACGAAGCAAGATGGAGGTCGACGGTGTTCAGTCTACAGCTGTCACTCCCGAGGACCTTCATGTAATCTCTAAGGGTGTTAAAGTCAATGAGAGCGACCTCTACTTCAGGCTTCTAACATTACCAAAGAAAGGGCGGCTATTCCTCGACAACAAAGCTCTACGGAGGAAGTCAACCTTCAGCCAAAAGAACATCACAGATGGCTTGATGAAGTACGATCTGCTCAACATGCTTCAGGATGACACGAGAGACACGTTCAGCTTTCAGGTGTTCTCAACACACGCCAACTCAACAGCTTACGACTTCAGAATCAACATCAATGCCGAGTTGACCGCCGTCACCATTGTAAACAGAGGCCTTTCAACCCTGGAGGGAGGAAGTAGAGTCATCAACAAAGACATCCTCTTCACTCACACAGCAAGTAACCGGGATGTCCACTACAGCGTTACGGTGAGCCCCGGGCACGGGCAGTTAAGGAGGATCAACCTTTCCAACTCGACTTCCATTAACGATAACATTGTGACGTTTACAAATCAGGATATCATTGGGGAGAGGATCGTGTACGTTCACGATGACAGCGAGACCAAGCAGGATTCCTTCACTTTCCAAATTATGGTTTACAAACCGAACAAACGCAGGAAGGAGGATAGGAACACAGCTGAACACACCTTCAATATCTCTGTGCAGCTTGTCAACGATGAGAGACCTGTCAGGGCTGTCGATAAAGTTTTCCATGTAGCCCGCGATGGGCAGAGGTTGGTGACGCTGAATGACCTTCGTTACCGGGATGACGACTCTGACTTTGAGGACAATTGGTTGGTGTACACGCGGAGGGGGATTCCCATGGGAGACTTGGTGCTAGCCAGTGATACCAGCCACAAGCTGTACGAGTTCACACAACGGGACCTGGAGCAGGTTAGCACAATTATCTGTGAAGGTTCTTGTTCATCCAGAAGGTAGAACATTTAGAATTAACAATTCAAGGGTTAGTCTTCAGATGTTTCTGTGTCATGATGTCAACAACCTTCATGTGGTCTTCAATGTCCGACTGATCTCAAAATAGGTTGAAAGTCTTGCAATTTCTCAATAGATATAGAGGAGAAATGAGCAGATAGGGGAAGGGGTGGAGAATTCCATCTGAAATAGGCGACCAATGGAAGGTTTATACGCAAATTCTACATCCTGTGAGTCAGGCGACAGGAAATTTCGTGCACTCATGCAAATGAGGGATAGGGGCGCATACTTTAGGACAGTCTGTGCTCTAAGGTATTCATGTGTTGCACTTGGTTGTACACAAAATAAAATAGATTCGTCTCTCTTCACATTTGGACAATTGCTGCATGAATGCTTTCGGATTATCATTTTTGGAAGTTTGCGAAAATGTAATGACGCAGCTCCCCATTTCCAGTGTTAGAAAGGTGTAGAGGGAGGGGGTTTCAGATGCTGTTTGAGGATCCAAAAATCACTTTAAAAAACAGAAAATCCAGCTGCCTTTGACCGCTAGATACTAAGTACTTAACTTGTACTAAACTTGTAATACTGGTGTTTCTTCAGGTTTTTTTTTATAAAGCCTGCTGATGCGTTTTCCTTTTCCCTCGTCACCTCCTTTTCTTTTCTCTCCTCGCAGAAAAAAGTGCTGTTTGTCCACAGAGGAGTGAGTTTTGGGCGTTTTGTGCTTTTCGTATCAGATGGGAAACATTATGTTTCAACAATGCTGGAGGTGATTATAATGTCTTCACACATGATGTATTCATGGTTTTATTTATTCATATTTTACAGTGATGTTGGTCAATTTCACTGTTGATTTGTTATTTATTAGAAGTTTAAATGTTGTGCTATAGCGTTAATTAAAGCGTTTACAAATTGTTTGCTTGTAATTACAAATCCTGATGCCTTTATTAGTGTGAAGATAATAAGCCTAATGAGGTTAGCTGCTGCTGATCATTTATTTCTCTTTCTGTTGTGTAACTGGCTGATGCAGGTGATGGCGCAGGATCCCTACCTTCAGGTCGAGAACAACACGGGCCTCATGGTCCAGCGAGGTGGGATCATAACCTTGACCTCTGCCAACCTCAGCATCTTCAGCAACCTTGACATCCGAGACCCACAGGAAGTGACATTTGTGGTCTTCCTTCCACCTAAACACGGCGTGCTCTTCTTTAAAGATGGAGATCGTGTAACAGCAACAGATGCAATTTCAATATTCACCCAGCGAGATTTGGTGGCGGGGCGCCTGGCGTATCACCATGACGGCAGCCATGAGTTGTCGGATGGGTTCAATGTGACGGCAAGAGCCAGGGAGAAGAGCACAGAGAGGCGGCTGGATAGAGGGAGGAGGGAGATACATCTGGACATTGGAGTGACGGTAACAATCTGCCTGGAGAGCCACCAGAGGCCGCCATCGGTCATAAATAACCATCTAGTGGTGGTGGCGGAGGGACAGTACGTCTCCATAAGCAAGGACCACTTAGAGGTAAGCTAGTAACCATAATTATGACTCATTCATTACTTGGTTACCAGCCTGTATTTGTTTCATATATTGCAAGATACATTACTTGCATCTAGGATATATCAAGGTCTATTGTCTGTACCTGAGAAAATATCGACAGATGCTTTCCGAGTCATTTATTTTCCAAGTTCACCCTTCAAAGCAATCACGGTCAGATTCCTGAGTCAAATGTTTTCATCTGGACTTTAATACAATCCAGTGACATCATCTAGACAACAGATGAAAAATGGTCTGTTGATATCAGAAGTTCATTGTAATATTTATAAGTAAATATGTTCTGTTCTGTTTGAACAGGTGGTTCATGAGGACAGCAAGCCCTCAGAGATAGTTTTTACCGTCCAAAGTCCTCCCGCCCTGGGCTTTCTACAACGGTTGCCCCCCAACGACAAGCACCAGATCAACAACGGAGAACAGCTGCACCTCCATCAAATACAGCCACCTGTAGGTTTAAAGCTGACAGACAGTTGCACACTGCACCTTTAAAGTTTCAGAGATTTTGCACAGAAACAGCACTTGATAAGTTTGTCTGTTTCGTGCCTCCATGCAGGGCATCAAAGAGCAGCCAACACATTCCTTCACCCAGGAAGATCTCAACCAGGGATTGATCGTCTACAACCAGCAGGCTGCAGGACACACCAACGACTCTATCCTGTTGGAGGCAACCAACGGGGTCACAAGGGTCGGACATATCAGGCTAGAGATTGACATCATCCCTATCCTGCTCCCTCTTCAGGTACAGAATGTGTGTCTAGATGCTCTTAACAAACATTTTACACGAAGGAGGAACTTCTTCGACCAGTCAGTCAGTAGTATCATCTGTTCTGCAGGTGTCTGACTTGACCCTTGATGAGGGGTCGTCCCTGCCACTGACCACTGACATCATCGTGGTGGCCAATCATCACTTCTCAGGGATGAACTTCCTGTACCAGATCATCGTTCCACCGCGACACGGACACTTGGAGCACAGCCGGATCCCGGGGATGCCCATCACTGCTTTCACTCACACTGAGGTTTGACTGAGCACACACACACACATTTTTGGAAAGTTTGGTTTGGTTTGTAAATTGGGGGTAATAAGGACGATTTTTGCTTAAAAGACTGTTTAGGTGTGATCCAATGAAGGTGTGTTCATTTCGCATAGCAGCACTTTCTCTCGCGTCTAAAGATACAAATATTTTCAAAACACTCTGCTTTTGTCAAATGCTCTGTTTTGTTGCTCTGTTCCTGCATTTCTAACATCAGCCGCATTGGGAGTTACAACAATGGCTTCTCTTTCCAGGTGGAACATGAGTACATCTCCTATATCCATGATGGCAGCGACACACTGAGAGACAACTTCACCCTTGTGGCCAATCAGACGGAAATCAGGAAGCACAGCCTGCCCTGCACTGCTCACATCAAGGTCACACCTGTGGATGATGAGACGCCGGTTGTTACAACCAACAAGGGTCTGAAGGTGGGGAGTGACGATTTACACCCATACGACAAGTGATTGTTAAAATGAGTCTGACTGCATCACCTTTATTTATAGGATTACTTCTATGTTTTTGATCAAAATAAGGAAATGTACATAATTAGAGAATTTGATAGCTAAACTTTCCGTCCTTTCCTTCCATCTTTCCTCTCTTTTCCTCAGGTGTGGGTGGGTTCAGTGACAGAAATCACCACAGATGATCTCAGTGCTGAGGACTCGGACACTCCTGAGCCTAAAGGACTGGAGTTCATCGTCACACCACCAAGCAACGGCCACCTGGCCCTTAAGAGGGCCCTCTCCAGACAAATCCTGAACTTCACCCAACATCACATACAAACTGGACAATTGATGTTCGTGCACAGTGGTGAGTACGAACCGCACGATATGGGACCATATTTATAGGTTTTCAGAAAAAGAAACAAAAATATTTAAAGATGAGAGAACAGATGAGAATTGAATATACAAACTAATAACCCCTCTTTTTTCCTGATTTTGACTTTTTTCTTGTGTAGGTGCTTTATCGGGTGGCTTTCACTTCCAGGTGAACGACGGCGTGAACTTCGCCCCTCGACAGATCTTCAGCACAACTGCCCACTCTCTGGTCCTCACCCTGCAGAGAAATCATCCCATGGAGGTCTACCCAGGTATGGTTTTACAAAACTAAAAACCTGGTTCGCCATTCTGGATTCGTACCCAGTCAGCTAAAGAATAGTGACTGGCGGTAGAAGCAAAGCGTATGTCGGCCTTTTCCTGCTTAAGTACAGTAAATGTGATTTTGATGTATAAACTTTCTAAAATAAAGTGTAAACTTGAACTCAGCCTGTCAATCTATCACTTCTAGATCTAGGTATTTGGACCGTTTTTTTTAAATTAAAATGTTTAATAGTTTGTGGCCTCATTTCAGTGTAGTTATATAACAATGGCACTGTGTGGCATCACTAGTCTAAACATTATGTTGCTGCCTACACAAAGAGATCACAATACCTCTGCGCACAGTCGGTGCCAGGCTGATAGTGGTTCTAACCTGTAAACATACTCACTTATCAGTAGTCTCTGGTCAAGGTTACAGAAGTGAAGCTGTTATTCTGATAGTATGGGACATTTAATACTGTAGTTGATTTAATTTTTACAATATCCAACAAAACTTGCTCCTGCCCTTTTTGTGGCTTTTTGAATTTAAAGCATGGCGATGTCTACTGATAATAGATTTAACCAGGATCCTTCATGGCCTCTTCTCTGTTGTTGTGAGCTTCTCATCACTCTCGCTGTATCTTTTCCAACCTTTAAAGGCTCTGTGACACCGATCTCTGAGCAGGAGCTTCAGGCCGTAACCAACGATGTCAGCGACATCAGACGAAACCCCTCGGTGGTGTTTGCAGTAACTGATCCTCCTAAACTTGGCAGCCTGGTCCGACGTATGCCCGACAACTCTACAAGAAACATTTCCACGTTCACACAAAGCATGGTAGGGGACGCATGTGTCTTCGCAACAAAAGGGAAAGTTTTTGTTTACTTCTCAAATAAAAGGATGCTCTTTGTGATTTGTCATGTCTTCATCTCTCAGGTGAAAGATGGGGTCATTTTGTATGACCAGAACAGGCCACAGTCAGTGGGATGGTCGGCTGCAGACGCTTTCTCTTTCACCGTGTCCTCTCCTCCTGCTTTCCTTCCTCCACACACCTTCACCATCTTAATCTCCTATCAGGCCCACGGACATCACGACAGCCCTCGACACAAGACCAGACTGCTGAGCAACGCAGGTACAGTGCAAATGAGTGTGTGCAAAAATCTCTATTTCTTATTTGATATATATTCGTACCATGAAGAATATAAGTTCAAGTGGACCAAGTGAGGTGTTCGTATGTGTCATTCAGGTGCTGTGGTGGCCGAGGGAGGCAGGGTGAGGATTGACAGGTCTAAACTCGATGCCTCCAATCTCCTTGGGAAAGTCCCTGAGCCGCACCGGAAAGACCACCACATCCTGTACCGCCTGATTTCCCTGCCACGCCACGGGGCTCTGTCTATACAAGGACATAACTTCACCAGGTGCTTTCTTCTGTTCTTCGTGCCTCAATAGATTTTTTTTTCTTTGTATTTTAATGTGTTGACAATTCACTGCTGACTTCAACAAAACCATTTACCAAATACTACTCGGCAACCTTGCAATTGAAATGTTTTTTTTTCTTTTCCCAGGAACAAACCTGATTTCTCTCAAGTCACCCTAAACAAGTTCGGCATCACATATGTCCATGATGACTCAGAGACGACGAGCGACAGCTTTACTTTCCGGGCCTGGGTGGCTCCTTTGGATCTCTTCTCCTATTCCTCCTCATCCTCTACCTCATCTGCTTCTTCCTCCTCCTCGTCCTCTTCCTCCCCTGCTTCCTTTTCACCTCTCTATTCAGCCTCATCGTCCTCCCTTTCGTCATCAGACGTGGTTTCTCATCGCCGTGACAAGGACAGGCTGGCGGTGACGGAGACGTTCAACATCACGGTGACACCGGTCAACGACCAGCCGCCGCTCATCAGGAGCAGCGCCCCGAGTATGAAGGTCGTTGTCGGAGAGAGAGTCGTACTTGGACCGGACAATCTGCATGTGAGCCAAGTGTTGAGAGAGCAGGTTTGGCTGTGGTTAGGGCTGCATATTTATGGTTCAAAATGCTTTATTATTTTCACAATTATTTATCGATCATTGGGAACAAAATTTAAAAAAAGCAAAGTGCCAATATCCCCACCAATGCATCTTAATTGTAGAAGCCTATACGTCTTAATAGCAATTATAATATTAAACATCCACAGTGTTCCTCTAAAGTCATTAAGTCACATAACAACAGGGATGCTGATATTAAGTACATTTCTTCCCCAGGAAATTATCATTTTCAGGACAAAGGATGGGTTTTCTATGCACGCCTTTTAAGATTAGATTAGACAAGCAGCAACAGTACTTCAACATGAGTGTTTACTTTTAGAGTCTTGTGAAATACAATCCTGTCAATCTACATGTCCAGGTTGAGGACCATGACACCCCTCCAGAGGAGCTGCACTACCTTGTGATCAGTAAGCCCAACAACGGCTACCTGACGCTGGGGGAGAGACTGGAGCCGGTGACCTCCTTCACCCAGTACGACGTCAACCACGGCCGGCTGCACTTTATACAGCAGGTGAAGAGTCAGTCTGCTGAAGGAGACTTTCATTCTTTTTTTTTTGAATATGTGTGTAATTTGTATGCGATTAGAATTGTACAATAGCATCTGATGGCAGCAAATCATCCTAAATCAGGGGTTTTAAATTCGGTTAACCCTGACCCTAAATCATAGGTTAGTTTTCTTTTAATCCTTCCTTCCTGTGTTCCCTCTGTCAGGGAGAGCCCTCAACAGGTGTTTTCTACTTCAACGTAACCGACGGTCATCATCGCCCACTCTACAAACTGTTTAGTTTGGAGGTAATAAAGCCCTCTGTCTCCATGGTGAACAACACTGGCCTGTCATTGGTTCAAGGCAGGACCGCCGTGGTCCTGACAACCGACCAGTTTGCAGCTCAAACCAACAGTCGCAGGCCGGTCAACATCACCTACACGGTCACCACGCACCCTCGCCACGGACGCATCGCAATTAACGACCAGGAAGTCGCAACCTTCCCGCACGAGGACGTGCAGTCAGGACGCGTTGTCTATCACATGACGGATCTCAGCGAATCAGAGGACAGCTTCCAAGTCTCGGTGTCAGCCTCGTCACCCGGTGTTGACTATGGAAATTTAACAGCACAGACGGTGGAGGTGACAGTGAGGCCTCTGATCTACCTGAGGGAGCCAGTGAGAGTGCCCAGTGGGATCGCTGTGAAGCTGGGGAAATCCATGATCGACGCATCCGAGCTGGCCAGAATCAGCCGAGCCGACCCAGTCTTTCAGGTTCTGTCGCCACCAAAGCATGGAAAACTAGTCAAGGTAAAGCTGTGCAAAAAACTCAGTTACACTTTCAGTCTAATCATCTAATTTCAGTTCATTCTCTCGTCCACTCTGTGTCTGTGTGTGCATGTTTGCAGATGACCTATGACCCTAACCGAGCATCAGAGGTGCTGAAGTCGTTTACGTTCAGAGATGTGGTGCAGGGCCGGGTCGCCATTGAGGAGACTCTCAGCGACAGCGACAGCCGGCAGCATGACAACAAATCAGCACTCAATACGGCTCTAGGCCACGCCCCCGCCACGCCTCTCAATGATTCTTTCATCTTCCTGCTGAAGGCTGGAAACGTCCAACCAGCGAAGGGGGAGCTTCACTTCACCATCTTTCCCCACCACCAGATGCATCACGGTCCAAGCGGTTCGAATACAGACGGTGCAAGTCGCGAACAAACGACAACCCGACTTCCGACACACAATAAGACTACGACCGGAAGAGGAGGCGGGCGAGGGGGTTCCACAACGCTCAGCGGGGACGGGGTGGGTTTGCCCCCCCACATTTTGTCACATAAGAACCACAATAGGACACAGCACAAGTCGAGGCCTCACAGCCGCTGGGGGAACCACACACGCAGCGGAAGTCATAGAGGAAGATCAGGGAGTCGTGCAGAGGGAGCGGGAGGGGGTCATAGTCATGGCCCACAGCCCCACACTCCTTCTGTCTCAGACAAACATGTTCCAGCACTCCCTCCTGACAAACACCCGGTCCACGTTGAGATCCTCCCTCGCCCCGCCTCCGACCCTCTCCTCATTATCCTGCCGCTGCTGGCCTGTTTGTTCCTGATTATAATCCTCGTAGTTTTGATTCTGGTGTTCCGCCGCCGCAAGGAGAAACAGGCCCGGCTGCGGCTCCTCCAGCAGCTCGCTGCAGTGACGTTACCCACTGAGGACAGCCCTTACCTGGGCCAGGCGGAGCGGAGCGTGGCTATGCCCTCTGTGGTGGTCACCCCGCTGGGCCCTGCAAGCTGCCCTACCTCACCCAGGGTACCTTTGAGTCCCAGAAGGAGGAGTCTGGCCCCTGGGATGACCTTCTGGGGGCCATTTGAAGCTGATGGAGCAGGTGATGATGGGAATATTAAAGGTGGTAACAGTATTGAAAAAGATATGGTAACTGCAGGATTCCAAACCTCTCTGAGATCTAGGTCCCCTACTCCGACTCTTAAAGACAACCAGTACTGGGTTTGATGGAAGAAGTCCAAAAAAACTGTGCCTTAGAGGTGTATTTTGGTGTATAAATAGCACATGTGTACTATCCAGGGGACAGCTGTAGTCATCTAAGGCACATCAACTTTTTTAAAAAGGAGGACAAAAATATGTTAATTTGTTGAAGAGATTTTTCCTTTCTTTGTAGGAAATGTTCAACTGAACTCATCTTTGTTGTAGTAACAATGTACTGAAATGTATGTTATTTAAACCGTAAAACATCACCTAGGAGCTGTAATTGTACTGCAGTGTTGTGACACTATTATGGCCACCATTGGTTCTTTTATGCAAACATACACTTGTGTCGCGATCAGTCCTCAAAACACTGACTGTAACTTTCATAGCTGTGACGAAGAAAGCATACGTTTTTGAAGTGTGGCTGAACAAGGGAGTGAAACATAGACTGAGCTTTATTGCATTTACTGTGACAGATTTAATGTAGTGGAATTTTAGCTCAAAATAATTAGTAGCATAACTGGTAATTGACACCACTCACCTACAACATTGTAACCGTACAGAGTCGATGTGTTCAAAACCTTGTATGTCAGCTGGTAGATGATACTGCCTGTTTGTGCTCGTGACTAAAAGTACTGTAAGCTTCCAAGTCCATGCATGCAAACTATATTTTTATAACATTCACCTCTCTTTACAGCGGTGAGATGTCATGTAACCTTTTCTGATCAACCGTACAGTATTAATACACAGTGAGATGTAGAGACACTGGTAGCTTCCTCAGTTCTTCACCCGCGACCCCTTTTAATGCCAGCCTGTTTGCCATGCGCTGTGAAAGATTTATTTTTAATAAAAATTATTTCTTAAAGACTTCTGTGTGTTAATCTCAAACGCATACATGCAATCAACAGTCTATGGAGAACAACACTTGAGTCTTTGAGTTTCATGATTTTTGTTGTTTGTAAGTCAGTACTTGACACGTTTCCAGATGTATATTGACGCATATATGCACCACCACACAATTTGTGTTTCTAAATGTTTCAAATGACCCCAACAGGTACTCAAGTCGTAATACTTTTAAAGCTTAATGGATTAGGTGCAGCATTTAGAGAGTGGGAGAGCTTTTGCTTTGTGTATGTAGTCGTTTGAATGTCTTTATGAATTGAAAGTATTGGCTCAGAATAACCAAGATTTTGAAATCATTAGTGAAATCAGTAAATAAGAAAATGAAAACAGGGAGAGAAAGAGGCAGGTCTAAATAATGAAGAGCCTTGCAACTGCAGTAACCTGACCTGCAGTCTGTGAACTCTGGTGTCACATATCAGCGGCTTGACTGCTGCTGTCTCCACAGGGGAAAAATAGTGATAACAAGCTTCTCTTTGCTCTAAAAACACACAGAATGAAGATTTGTTTCATACTAGACAAACTAACTAATCTAAAATGATGGAGCAGGTGTCTTGTTTAGGAAAAAAAGGTGATATATATATATATATATATAAATATCCTGAAGTAAACATTCATATTCATGAAAACACTACTTGAAAGACACAGAAAGGGTCTAGTGAGACTACAAATATATGATTGACATAAATTTGACTTTCATTTATTTACTGAAATACTGTTACATTAACAGTGTTAAGGAACAATTTCATTGTAGTGAATTACGTGCTTGTGAAGAACACTGTTAACAACCTACCTGGTGGTGTATCCTATTATAAACCATGTGAAGTAAAAAATCCAAGGGGAGGAACGTGAACTACAACCTTTACAATAAATACTCTATGTGAGCATATAATTGACAGCCCTACATACAGTAAAACATTGTAATGCATTCATTTGGTTATCTCAGTGATCTACTGCATGGTCAATTTATATTGATTATCTTCACCAGATCCTAAGCTTCCCTCTCGGTGTCTAAATAGTGTTCTGTGATCGATTCGGGACCTACAACAAACAGTACTGTGTGCTTATTTTGGTAACTAGGTTTGACAAGAATGATTTAGAGTCGCAGGTTAGCATTCTTAGAAGAGTAACTGTTATTAAAGTTACTATGTAGAATATGAAAATGTCCTACTTTGGCGTGCTCAAGTGGTAGTACCACAAAACACAAAATGGGGAAAGGGAACACATGGACTTGCAATAAGATTGTCTTAAAACTTCTTTTTTTTAACAATAAAAAAGACAATACCCTTTGAAATAATTTGAAATATGCTAGAATCACAGAAAAAGCCTACACGTGGTGGCTTTAAACTGGAAGATCTGGATTCAAAGATGTATTGCCAGGAAGCATCCTTCATGTTGAAGTTTCTGTACCCTGAGCCTGACCTCTGAGCTCCCCTGATTGAGGGAGAGCAGAAAGACAGAAGTGGACTTGGGGGTTTTAATAACTAAACTACTGCAGGAACCCAAAGAAACAGAACTGTGGAGCTACTTCCCAAAACAAGAAGATAGTCTGTCAAATACATTTTAAATCGGTCGAAGATCAGTTATGGTTTTAAGTCCGGCAAGACATGAACTAACAACACAAATATTCAAATTATAATATAGCAAAGAAGTGACAGCTTCCGAGTTGTGACGGATGTTAGACATCAGAAGTAGGCCAAATTTCAAGCTGCAATGAAATCCAACTACTAAACTCATTCATCATTGGAGATTACACCCACGTGTCCTCTTTCCATATCCACAAACAAATACTTACGTACTGTCATGGCCCATCAAAACAATACTGAACAGGTCATTCAAGTAAAAACAGACGCATATAGAGAAAACGGAAAAAGTTAAATTCACGAAAGTCCCGTCTTTCAATCATTAAAACATCCCGTTGAAGTGATTCGGGGAGTTTCGTGCCTGTGTTTCTGTTGGTTTACTATGTGTTCCAGAACAGAAGGTTTCCATGAAGTGGTGAGGCAGAATATAGAGGCGTGGACAGATCACGTGACCCTGAAACCGGGAATTGAGAGGCAGCCCCGTCACATTGAGAGCAGCTGTTTTTAATATCTCTCGCGGCCCCGCTGAGTTGCAAGATGTGCCTGGAGCATCAGCAAAAATCCCTGTTACTGGTACATTCACCAAGGCCGTCAAGATTAATCCAAGAAGTTGTCTTTCCACAATCCAGTGGCCTATGTTTGTTAAAAAAGAGTGGTATATTTCTTCTAATGCTTGTACCAGGCCCAGGATTCACCACATCAGAAATGCATCTTTCTTAAAAGGGCCGTAAGATGTTCTCCATTAATGTAGGAGGAAAAGCACATCAATCATCCCTGTCTGGTCTTCTCTTCAAGCTTAGTCCCCCCCCCCCTCTTTGAAGTCCAACTCCTCTGTTCCCTCCCCATCTCTCCCTACTGGTCATCGTCATATTTTTGAAGCGCGTCCTCCAGCTTGGCAGTGATCTTCTGGAAGAAGACAATCTGCTCACGGAGGTGGTGCTGCATCTGGGAGCGGAAGTCCCGTACACGCGTGCGGTGGAAGTGCTGGATCTCTGCAAGCGTGGCGCAGGAGATGATGTTGCAGCGGTCGTGGAGCTCACCCTCCTGCTTTGGACAGTCTTTGACCTTGGTCAGCGCACCTGGGAGAGAAAAAAAAAAAAAAAGGTGGTGGAGGGAAAGGAGAGGGAGACGACTGAGAAGGTATGGCAGGTGTACAAAGCATAGAGCCAAACTAAAAGCTGGAGCTAAAAGTAAATCCATGCAATTAATTAAGATAATCTGTTTGACAGCAGAGATCATACAGCAAAGAAGTTGGAAAGCCTTTTGTTTTACTTTATGGAGGTCATAAAGGGATAACACTCTATTCACAAGTGTTGTACTCAATACTGATCTGTATCTTAGAATATGTTCAGTAAATGGAGGGAACATGTTTCACTTTTTAACCCTCTATTACATTGAGTGAGAGAAGCTAATGGGATGGCAGCTAGCCAGGATGTAACATCAGGACAAAGCTAGCACATCTATTTAAAAAAAAGACTGTAAGGAAGAAAGGCAGGCACATTCCTCACACAACATTTTCTTCATACTACAGGAAGAAGCTGGTTATTGCACACTTTTTCCAGGATCCTTGAAGTTACCCAACGCCCAGTCGTGACTCAGAATGTATAGTTTAGTGTGAAAAGGGGAAGCAGCCGAGTTTGGATCCATGACAGAAAAGGATGAAGAGGAACTCAAGAGTAAGGCTCTCACACGGCAGCATGTGGAGGAAATTATGAGCTAGATTGTAGGCCGGCACGGCTCTCATTCCTGACCTCGTTGCCTTCTCTTTCCAGATCTCTCTCTGTCTCGTACGCCAAAAATCACACACCATACCTGCTCAAGTGCGCTAACGAAACTGAAATTAACTTGGACTTTGCTCTCATCGCTACTAAGGCGATTACGGAGCTGTAATCTGAACTCTTGTGCTGTTGGCTGGTGGGAAACTTGTTCAGCTCTGTAACTAAACTATCTGCCCCCCCCTCCAACCTCTCGCACAGACACACTCACATACACACACACACCCCCTCTTCTTCTTCTTCTTCTGCCTCCTCCTCGTTAACTCGCTGTATTCACTGGGATGAAGGAGGAAAATAGGGAGAAGAAAAGAGGAGGAGGGGAAACTAATCCTGAGACTGCTCCATTTTGCATTCCTGCAGTCCCAGGGCAACACAGGACAAGAGGCCCAAAAATCTCTGCGCTCATTTAAATCAGATGTATCCTTTTGGACCTCACAGACAGAACCGGCGACGTCGGACGATACTGTATGGGCGCATTTAGGTCGACAAAGCCGTCCGCCTTAAGAGCCCGGCAGCTGTTTTTGTGCTTTTGTTCTGCGGTTGTTGCTGCAGAAATGTTCAGCGCTGTATGACATAGATAGATATTAGTGGAATGAAGAAAATTAAAGTTTATGTGAAATGTGAAACCTACAGTCAGGTTTTCTTTGTGTTTGTTTTTTTTGTAAAAAAGAATGAAGTCAAACGTTTTATTTGGTTGGAAAAAAAAAGGGAAAAAAGCTAAATCTTTGCGCTAGTGCAAACATTTTTCTCTCAATGAGGATCATTCACCAAATTGACTGTTGTGGAAACTTTGACCAAACCAGCCCTCTTTTGTTGAAGGTAGTTATTTCACAACTATGGCAGAAGTGCAGACTTTGCAATGTGTTCACGAGTGTCGCTGGGCAGACAAAACGTCAGCACTGGTGGATTACTCAGAGTGCATGAGAGGTAAAAGGACAGGCCAGACTCTGAGTCAATGACTCCCTGTCTATAGCTCACAACCTTGCATTTAAAAATAAATAAATAAATAAAACAGAAAGAAATACTTCTGTTCCTCTTCTTACCATAAATTAGACTTGTTTTACTGCAGGCACTGCTAGTTACGGTTTCCAGAAGTGAAAAGCACGGTGGTACCCAAGAAGGATGACAGTGCGGTTCTACGAAGGCATGAATGATGATGTCATATCCTGTGACATTACCACGAGTTCCCCTTCATATGTCTTTGGTTAAAGCTTGGGTAGGTAATGTTGGAGAAACAAGTATGAGCATGCTAGATTTAAAAAAAAATGATTCAACCCAGTGTTGCCTGCTCTTAGCACTAGCTCGGAAAGTCACTAAATGGAGTGAGAAAGTCGCCAAGTCAGCAGATCATGCTCCACAGAGACACAAAATAATATTTATTTCACATATTACTAAAGCCAAGAAGTCAATTTAAACTTGAGTTTAGTACGCAAAAGTCATAATAGGAAGGGCGTCTTGCAGTGCAGTGGAAGTGAGGGAAGCGTTCAACGTTGTTGGAAGTTAGACGCTCTTTGTGGGACATGAAACAATGTGTTTCTTGTCAATCACAAAGTGGGTGAACTGCTGTCAGTCACAGGGACTTTTGGGATTCAGACTGTGTTTCCATAGTTGGAGCTGTGATTGTGTCAGGAGAACAGAGCTCTGCGGACTATAGAAACAGTGCCTCTACGTTTGGCAGACGTCAGGACTTTGCGTGCCAGTAGCAGCTCCCTCCTCCCAACCTGCGGGGAACTAACAAGCTAACTCCTCTGCGAGTCCTTTGTACACGTGTGTGTGTGAGTGTGTGTGCGTGTGTGTGTGTGTGTTGTTATGTGTTTTCCTGCGAGCGAGTACAGGCTCTCACAGTACCAGAGTGTTACAATGGACCGGCTACGGGTTTCAGTTTTCAACCCAGATAGACGATTCAGTAAATGAAAACAGATGTTGAAACAGTCAGAATCCAGGTCTCTTGTGTGTTATCTGCCTTTGTATTGACATGATTAATACATGGGCAGGCTGCAGGCTGGATTGCTTTTGGAAAACCTTATAAATTATTTTGCCATCCAAGTAAAAGTAAACAAATCTCTGAGTATTTTGTTTCAGACGAGATTATACAGCCGGTTGCATGGAAGCTGAGAGCGAGAGGCCTCGTGCTGTAATGAATCCTCCCTGGATTGAAACTCTCCGCCCTGCAGAGGCATCCATGAGCGAGAGTCCTGACCACTCAGTCCCCACCAGCTCCATTTCAAGCTAAGACCTGACCTCTGACCTCCCTGTAAAGAGAAGTGAGCTAAGCCATGCATCTGTTTAATTTATTGCAAGTATGTTAGGAGGCATTTTTTGTCAGTAACCCCTTTCACATACTTCTGCACAATTTCCTTTTTTCCCCCCCAGACATGTTTGGCATTTACATTCCACTTAAAAAGACCGAGTGGCAACGTAGGTGTGTTAAAGTGCTCAGACTCTACGATAGAAAAAGGAAAGGCCCACACTTTCAATTTAAATGACTTGTATGCAAATGAGCTCATTGTGTTCACATGAACACACACAAACACGTTCTCACCCTTCTGCACGTGGATGATGTCGGGGAAATTGGCCAGGTGTCCCCTGTAGAGGTCCAGCAGGTCGGAAATGGGAGCCAGGTCGTGGCGTGGCTGCTCAGCGAAATACTCTCCCATCGCCTCATAGGCCTCGCCAGTGTAGGCGATGGCTCCGTTCAGGCCCGCCGAGTAGGCCTGCTGGTCCAGCTCGAACGCCTGCCCGAGGAGTGCGAAGGACTGTCCGACTTTCTGGTACTCCTTCTTGAACCCGGTCATCTGCTTGCGAGCGAACTCGTTGATAGTGGTGTTCACGACCACGATGTTCTCGTCCATCCTCTTGGTGAAGGTCTTGAAGCCCTCGATTTTGCTCTCGACTTCCTGGAGGTCCAGCGGGACAGCAGGCGTGCTGAAGACAAGCGGGACAAGTCACGGCCATTTTTAGACCTTGTAGTTTCATTCTGCTTTTATTGAAGCATTACATCATCTTTATTTATTATTCATATGTTCTACTTATCTTATCTTCACTATCAGGCACCCCCTGAAGATAAAAGCTTATCGTTACAGCCGAGTTAACACAAGGAGAACTGATAACAGCACCTATCCCAGCACCTAAAAATGGATTCCTATCTCATTGACACACTATGAACAAACATATTATGTTATAAATTTCCCCAACAGTTCCTGTTATCTCCAGGGACTGGGCTGTAACTTGATACATTCAGTGGAGCGGTAGTTTATCAAGTAAAGAAGGTCAGGATCTGTGTTGTAGCAGCATTGCATTGTGGTCTATTTCCTGCTCTTATTGGTGTAGATATTGGGTCTCTACGCCCCTTCAACAATGGATTTCGTATGATTGTGGAATGCTGTTGGAAAATGGTTAATGAAGCCCCTTGTTCTCGGACTGCAAAGGCCTGCCATCAGTTTATTTAAACGTCAAACAAATCACAGGCTTTCCTGTCGAGTGCTCGATGCTTTTTATGAGCTTGTAATGAAAACAAAGAGCAGCTCGTAACCCGGCCTCCTACCTGATCGTCAGGAAGAAATTGGACCCAACCAGCTGGTCCCTCTCTGCCTTCCTCTTGCCTTGTTTCCAGGCCTTCTCATCCGCCCCGCACGTCAGGAAATGCTGGAAAACGTCGCAGCGCGCCAGCACCGGGTGGCTGGTCATGTGGTTCATCCACCAGATCAGTCCCTTCCTCCGCTTGGAGATGAAGTCCTCCTCGAAGCGGCCTGTGGCCTGCTTCTCTGGCAGGTGGGGGACTGAGATGACCGGGAAACGCTCCACAAGCCGAGCGTACAGCCAGTCAAAGTGCTTGTACCTGCGGGGAGGATGGAAGACGACAGACAGGTGGGAGGATGTATGCATGGGGATATTTCGAGTGGATGAGAAGGGAGGGAGAAGGTTTGGTCAATAGGGAGCGAGAGCGATACGGAAGTGAGGTCGACGGCAGGAAAATGTAGTCAGAAGGAGTGAAAAAGAAGGAAGGATGCCAGAAGAGCAACTGTAAGGACTTTTTTTTGCCAACCGGCAGGAGTCAGTACCATGTGGAAACTGAAATGTAAGAGTGTTGGCTCGTAATGACAGACCTACTGACAGGGAAACAATGTAAAAGGTGCAGAGGGAATCTCAGAAAGGAAAGAGGAGATTCCTGAGGACTCCAGAGGGCAAAAGGCCACAGTCTACGCTGTTTTTGCAATTTTGTGGCAAGAACTGTGGCCACAGGAAAAGCCACAAAGAAACATTTATTTTTAAGTGTATGGGGGGCTGGGGGATCCGGTGGAAGAAATAAGTTTGGAAACCCCCAGAGAGGGAAGAGGAGGAGCGAGAGAAGCAGGAAGCCAGCCTGTACCTGCGGTTGACCTGTATGTTGGTGTGCGTCGGGGTCAGGCCGTAGGACATGTAGCTCTTCATGCCTTTGAACTTGGTCTGCTTGGTGGGGTCGTCGATGGTGCACGTGAACGGATACTGGTCCTCCTGCCACTCCGGTCCGTGCTTCCCCATCACCACGCAGATCCTATCCCCATCCTTCACGAAAGCAGAGGCCTCCCCGAGCAGGAAGGCCTCCCCGCCGGACTTGACAAAGGTGGAGAACCTGTTGAGGTTCCTCCCCACTGTTGCCGAGCTCTTGGCCTGCTGATGCTGCTGCTGGGTGCTCTCGCGCCGCCCGGGCAAGGAGGTGGTCACCGGGTACAAGGGGGGCGATCTGCCGAGACCCTGAGATGCGTCGGCCGCCGGAGAGCTGTCGTCCCAGTCGTCGTCCCAGTCGTCATCGCTGCCCTGGCTGGTGTGGAAGCTGCCTCCACCGCTACCGCCGCTGCCAGCCCCGAGTCCTCTCTGAGACTGGGTGTCCGAGGGCGCGCAGGAGGTGTGGGTGGGCGTCAGGGCTTTGATTTTGGGTGAGGACAGGCCGTTGTTGTTGGCGTTGGAGGTGATGTGGTCCCTGAGGATCTCCACATAGGAGGCAGGGAAGAGGCCAGTCTCCCCCCTGTTGTTCTCCCCCTCCAGCCAGCCATCCAGCTCCTCCTCGCTGAACAGAGTCACCAGCTCATTCTCTGTTATGGAGATCTCCCCTGGGTTTTCAGAGTGGAAGTCGTACAACACTTTGGCCTTTAACGCCATAATTGTAGTACAATTATTATTTGTGTTTTTGTTGTATCAAGAAGTTTTCTTCTTTTTTTTTTTCTCCCCCCCGGGATTAGGTCTTTTAAAAATCCCAGATATTTACAGATTTAGATCACGCAGCGGCAGCAACAATTGGGACTATTTTTTTTCCCACTTTTGTCAAAATCAAACAGGCTTGTATCAGAGAGCCGTGCATAAAACAACAAGCAGAGAAACACACGGGCTCGTACCCGACACCCACCTCCTCTCTCCGCTCCTCTCAAATATCATTTGTTTCCATGCAGAACTTAATCCAAGGCGGAAAACACAGAGGAAACCTGTCTTTATAGGATATTTTTCTCTCCGAAAAGGAAGTTGCCGTTGAGAGTTTAAGGTCGAAGTTGCGACGGCTGTGTGGCTGCTTTTCTTCCTCCAGATAAGAGCCGGGGAAAACTCCTTTTTTTCCCCCCTTCTTCTCCCTGAGATGCTGGTCGGTTAAAGGCAACAGACTGGCTGACTAACGGAGGGTGGAGCCAGGAGCAAGTTCAGTCAAGTCACTGAATTCATACATGGAATCAAAACCCACGCAACCTCATTTTAAAAGCTCCGTAATATGAATGTAGCCATATCCCAATTATAGGCTTTTATTCAATATTTGAATATTAGCGTATTAAACAATCCTCTCACGAGTTCACAAAAACTTACATAACTTATATATATGTAATATATATATATTATATATATATATATATATAATATATATATATATATTACATATATACAACGCAACACAGAATGGGCTAAATTACCCAGGCGCACATATTACGTCGTTTATTATCTTGCTATTAAACTGCAGAATGTGACTTGAATAAAGAAAACACACTTTTAGTTGACTGCAATTAGGTTCCAATCAATGAGTGCAAATTGGACAATGTTAGTATTTACATTATTTTCCTTCTGTATCACATCTCCCCAGTAAAGGGAAAATCCTCAGGTTCGTTATTTGCTTTTTTGTGTCAATTACGTTTTTTTCTCTGTCCACATTTCAATTAACTAATTACTCATTCTGAAAAGAACATCTGCTCCTCCCCCTTATCGAAAAACACAGAATCTATGAAAAGGTCTCCCTTCACAGATTCAGTTTCGAACAGCAGCAACAGCATCAAACTCGTTCTGCACAGTGAAGACAAACCATCAAATTAATTTACAATACACAAAACGAATTCTGGAGGGAATGTGATCCTAATGCAACTAAGAATTAACAAAAAATCATAGGCCTTGACGCGTGCAACTACTGTATATTTTTGCCACATATGATGCTTTTTATTTATTTATTACTATTGCATTTTATTACTCTTTTGCTCCAAAATATGCGCAGGATATATGCCAAACTGTATAATATAATATAATATAATATAATATAATACAATACAAAACAATATAATATCATATAATATAATATAATATAACATAGTATAATATAATACAATACAATATAATACAATATAATATCATATAATATCATATAATATAATAATTCAGTAATGTGAGTTGACCCACCAGGCCACTAGAGTTCAGTGTAATCAGACAGTGAGAGGAGACAGCAGTTCCTCCTCCTGAGCATCAGGTGGCAGTAAAGCGACTTTCCCTTTGGATTCTTGTAATACAGTCTTTGCTTCCAGACAAAGAATGTAATAATTAAACAAACGCTGCACATCTGATATTCATGATAATTCATCAAAACATCATTTGTGTCATTACATAATTGATAGTCGCCTCGTTGAAGCGGCCCGACAGGAGCGGAATACATGAGGACGCTGTGATTAGCCGGAGTGTTTTAATTTATAGTATTTAAAAAAAAGGTAAATATAAGACATATTAATGATCTGTCGCTTTGTTCTTGTGCCTGATAATTGTGGTTTGCCTGCAGACACACGTGATAGACATAAAGGCAGTCTGGTGATCCACAAGATGTCCGTCTGTCCCCGATGTTGGTCTGGTTGTAGTTTCAGCTCAATGTAAAAGTTGCATCTTCAAGTCACTCATCCAGCTGTTTTGTGAGTGCGAACTGAAGCCCATAGAGAGGTTGGCTCTCTTGTATTTTAATTCTTTGGCACCATTCTTTTTTTACTTTGTCAATTAAATGTTGCTGTTTTATTATAAAGTTGCAATGATTCACGATTGATCGATGAGGCAATATTGACAGAAAATATACCGACCAAAATCAACTCTTTTTCATAATCGAATAATCGGTTTAGTTGTTATGCCAAATGCCAAGCATTTGCTGGTTCAGCCTCCCAAATATAGGAATATGATGCTTTTCCTTATCATATGATACGATAGTTACCTCAATCTCTTTCAGAATCAGAATCAGAACCGAACCGTTACACATACAAGGAATTCGACCTGGTGAATGGTGCATAACAATAAACCATGAACACAGTGCAATAATGGAGACGTGATTTAAAAATAGAAAGATGTTAAAATGTACAATAAAATATGGTAAGCAAACAGATAACAGTACGTTAAAACAAGTATATTATAAAAGTGGAGAGTGTATTTTGATATAGAAAGGATGTGCAAGGAAGTGTATTTTGATCTGTTGGTTGGACATGAAATCATAAAACAATTATGGAAAGTTTCTTAAGGATCAGCTGGATTGTGAGAGGCTGCACACTCCTTTACATTTTAGTGGTGCTGGAAATTAAAGATGGTGAACAAACTGAAGTGCTTCTGGTATAATAGAAAAAGTGAGTCAGTTGAATCACAAATCTTAATTCCTTCATTCTATAAATAAGCTTTCGTTGGCATCAAAATGGTAAACCTTGATTAAGTGATTTCACTTTTGTGAGCCTTAACAACTGCTGCACACCAGACACACTTTCCTCTCTTCTCTTCTCCAGGTTTTATATCATGTCCGACCCGGTTCAGACCACCTCAGACAGTCTGTGTAAACTGGTCCGCTGGGCTCACAGCCACGGGACCATCTGCAACCTCATCCCCAGCCTGACAACGGAACCCGGTCTCCATGGTGGCAGTGTCCCTGTCGCCGTGTGGGGTTGTGCCGCTGGACACTCGTACCACTGGCCCCTCGGGGGCCACAGCAGCGAGAGGCTATGTTCAGGCTCAACAAATACCGGCCAAGGCCAGGAAAGGTTTGTCGGAGGGCGCCGGTCCAATAAGGTAACGTAGAGATTTTAGGTCAATATATTAAAATGTAGTGTCAATGGTGCAATACAAATGTTCAACTGTATAGATTGCTGTATAGAAATCCACAATTCATACAATGTTAACAACAGGGATGAAGCTCATAGCCACAAATGTCACAAATTCAGCCTTTACCTTTTAATTTCTCATCTATTCTCTCTTTATTACATTCCAGGTGACAGCGAGGGCGTCGTGTGACCTCTGCTATAGCGAAGCAGCATCAGACGGGGAGGAGTTCAGCAGCCGGCTGTTTGACATTGCTGGGTGTGATTCGTCGGCCACAGACGAAGACAGCGCCTACGAGCCCCGCCCGTCCAGGAAAAGAGGCGGGGCACCAGGAAGAGCAGCAACCAGGAAGAAGGTCAAGCAAGAAGCCACCTCGGCCGAGGATCATGACACTGCTGCTAACACAGCTGGCACGGGGCTAGCTGTGACGGACTATGTGCAACGGGCTTGTCGGGCACCAAACACACACTCTCAAATGACACACACACTGTTGCCCAAAAAGCCCCTCCCACCCTGCTCTCAACCACTGCATGGACAGGATCTGAAGTGTGAGAGATTAGAAGACCCAGAGATGGAGCTGCTGGGAGGAGGCAGCTGCACGACAGGGACCACGGAGCAGGCCGAGAGACGCAGCTCCGCCACAGAGACCACAGAGAAGACTGCGGGTACAGCTTTGTTGTGAGCAATAAATTCCATGATTACCTTTCAGCATATTTTTATTCAAGTGGTCTAAAGAAAAACTAGACTCCTGCATCTCCTCTTGGCTCAGAAAATCTAGCCTGTGTCGGGAGACTTTGGCCAATCACAGGTCATTTCAGAGAGAGGGTGTTCCTATTGGCTGTTCTGCAAAAAATAGAGGCGAGGAAACGTCCCTTTCAGGGAAAGCGTGATTCAACGGCCTTATATTGTGCAGGAAATAGGTATTCCAGCATTAGTAACAACTTCCTACACTGCAAAGCAACCCAAAACAGGAAAAGAGAGAAATATCAGTGGTGTTTTTGGGATGGAGAGAAAATGAAATACAATATGCTGAAAGGTATTTATGACATTTTTTGCACAATTACGCAAAAATAAACTGCGTACTCCAGCTTTAATCGGAATTAAGACACAAGAATATATTATTATTGTTAAAACACTGTATTGTTTTATGATACAAAACAATTTATAAAAGAGTTTCTTACCAAATGTTTCTGTGTGCTTGTATCCAACTGTCTGACTTCCTGTTTCTGACTGTTGGCGTTTCTTTTAATGTAAATCTGCAGGAGAGCAGGGTCAGCTGGAGGAGCTGCACGTGTTACTTTGTGCAGAGCGCAGCCGTAACCAGCGGATGACGGAGATCATCTCCGGTCTGAAGCAGGACAAAGAGCTGCTGCAGCATGAACTCGCTAAGAAAGCAGAACTCATCTGTGACTTCCTGCAAGACAAACTGCGGCCAGGTAAGAGTTCGGTACGAAAACACACCTGCTGATGAATTCAATGGCAGTTCAACAGTGTGTTGGCACTTTTAAAGGAGATAACATTTATTTGTGTAGTATCTGTCGTGCAAAATTGCAATTAAACGTTCCTCCCATAGTAGTGAACAAAATAAAACTTTAAAATAATAAAAAAAATACTTTACTATTCATTTTAACTATAATTCTGTAGCTAAAATGTTTATTTCGCCGGACTGTATGACTTTTTATTTCTATCTTAGCCAAATTCAGAGTTGTCTTTTTTCTATTTGTGATACCAGAGAAGAGGTGGCCTTGTTGCTCCAATCCAATGGAACCGGGAAGTTCCCACATGCCCTCTTCTGACGATGTGGCAGGGGCCGATTCCCCGACACTGTTTGACTCATTTGAAGAAGTGGAGCTTTACCCTCTGGACCGCCACCGGACCCTGAAGAGCAAGAGGAGCCGGGATGGAGAAAACCCCCGCGTCAGGAGTAAGGACACGACACAGCAAGGAGGAACAGCCCCAGAGTAGAATGAAAAGTTGATACTAAACGTGGCATTCATTTTGCTTTTCACATGTACTGTGTCTATCTCTCACTTTCCCTCTCCTCTCCAGTGAAAAACGTGGTGGGCGTAATAGCGCGCTATATGGCGGCCCTCCAGGAGTTTCGCTGCAGTGTTTCCATGAAGGTGGCCTTCGACCGGGTTGGCGTGGACCGCAACACGATTTCCCGTACAGCGGCCATAGCTGAGCTCAGTCTTGCCGCCCCCGTGGTGTTCCATGCCATGGCACCGTGGGACGAGAAGGAGGAGACGCTGGCACATTATGCCCACCGCTGCCGACAGGCCATGGACGACAACATTAAGGCCAAGATCAAAACGATGAAGGCAAAAGGCGATCTACTGCCCATAGTGTCCAAGTGAGGAACCTTGAATCAGAAGACTACAATGCATACTTCTTGTAGGCCTACGTAGGAAAAGGAAGCTTTCATTTCACTGCACTATCTGAGTCTGTGGTCCTCCACTTTTTCCAGGATTTATATCGCAAGGTTGTTGTAATTTTCACTATTTTGTGTACTTCTAATCATTGTGTGGCTGCATTACATTCTGGCTACATTTCTGCTTCTGTGGGTACGGTTGAAAGAATGAGCTCTTGTTCTTAGATTCTCTGGGACAGTCACCTACAACTGCAGTCATTGCAGCTCAGAATGCTTTATTACCAAGTTTCAACATTTGAGAAAAATGAAAAAAAATAACTACAGACCATCTTGCGATGGGATCACACCAGCCGCAACACCAAATTGCACCAGGGGCGCAAAGTGTGGGGGTGGTAATGGCCCCTTCCCCACTTCCTACCCCCCTACTTCCGGGGCCCCTTGGTGATGGACCGCACCCATCATCAAACTTGGCGTTTACTTTGATCTCAGCTACACACCTCCGCTACAATCGGTGTCTCCAGGACCCCGTTTTGCCATGATGACACTCAGATAGACTCAGAAGGTGAAAACGATACCAGCTAGTAGAAACTGGTTTATTCTGTGGTCAGTCCAACCACTTTATATTAAAAAGGCTCGACTTCTGATGTTCGATCAATAAGGAGACTTTTAAGTATTCAAGGTTCAGTGACTTAATGTTTTTGATGCATGTTTCTTGTTTTGTGGTCTGCCTAACAGTTTTAGAATAAATCCACTAAAAACAGTGAGCATTATGAAGTTAAGCAAGTCTTCTTTTGTTTTAGTAACAATACAAAACAAACCTTTGTCCATGGGCACGGTGTGGCATAAAAAGAAATCCAATTTCAGGCACTCAAGTGAATGGTTGAAAATGTAACGCCTTTAATAAATATGGGTTAAAGACCCCAACATGTATCAACACATGGTGCCTTCCTCAGGTAACACCAAGTACCCATGGATGAAGGAATCTTTTCTTCTCTTTGAACATGGATCACTTTAAAACATGGACGTGAACACAAAGTTTAGAAGTGAGGGGAAAACAAAAAAAATCAGGATTACGTTTAAATCCTATAATGTGAACACAGCCATGCATATGCTTCTAACCCCTCTTTTTAAACTTGCAAAAATAAAAACTGAAATTCACTATATATATGTATATATATATACACACACAATTGAATGTAACAATTTTATTATCAAATATTGACACAAACCCATTTATGTAAAAACCCTGACCGAATGTGCATTTTATGGATCAGTGCGGTGAAAGGCAACAGAGCAGGATAGCATTTACAGTATTTCTGTGTTTTTTGTTTTTATCTGCTGCTCAATTTCACAGGATGTCTGGAACCTTCTTCCGACTTTTTTTTTTTTTCCCCGGAAGCTTTCCCGAATTCAGCAGCCAGCTTTGTTGGTCTGGAAAATGTAAAAATGACAGATTCACACTCCCCTGAGATCGTTTATGACACGTCAAAACAACCGTCCGTTAATCCAAAGACTTAAAAGAGGGAAAGTGGGAGACACGTGGGTCTGGTGCGCACGTGTGTTGTTTGAATGCTTTGTGTCACACCGGGTGGCAGCAGCAGGAGGACAACGGGTGAACAGGTCAAGACTCCGGCTCCAGGCGTGGAATGACGGGGAGTATGAGGTTCCCGAACGAGGAGTCCTGAGTGATGAAGAAGCCTGATGAGTGTGTGTGTGCATGCTGCAAGAGAAGACACAGTTAGGCAAAGGCTTGTGTTAACACTGACCAAATTCACAATTTAAAATGCTATTAACTAAACAATATTTCCGCAATAGAAGTGCTGGTAGCTTGATTATTTTGTTACCTTTGGACAGAGCTAGGCTAGATGTTTTCCCATTTCTAGTCGTTATGCTAAGCTAAGCTAACCACCCCGTAGTGTCTGTGTTTGGCTAAATGATTTCTGAGACTTTTACGCCACATTAAAGGATATCACAGTGTTTGAGGTTTGATGCACCAACAACCATGCAGTGACTATCAAGCCTCTTTATACTTCTGTGAGATGTTTCATGTTGCCTTGAACACCCCCCCTCTCTCTCGAATAATGATTTTCAGACCTCTATTCAATTCAAGTCAGAAACTGCAGAATTAACTCTCAAAATCAGTCTTAAAACACAGGAAGTCACCGACACTGAATGAAAACCTAACTGGATATTTACTCAACAACTATATGTACGACTATTATTCATATTTATTTATTGTGCTACTTGTTGCTGTATGTAAAACTTGTGTAAAATGACATGAATATGTTCGACTGTCGCACCTGCAGGGCAGCTTTCTGCTGGGCAGCGATGTGTTGCTGTTCTGCGTTGTCTCTGAACTCCTTCAGACTCGGTCTGGACATCGAGATGCTACAGGATGAGATGGAGAGGAGAACATTTTTAAATCAATTTGAATATTGATGTATATATGGATATGGATACACCATAACAATGTTTCTCCGAGGTTGTGACTGAGACTCCTGTTACCCTCCACGGCTGGATACTATCCCTACCTCGCTCCAGGAGCATTTAAAAGTCGCCTCCTCTCCTTCTCCAGCTCGGCCAGGATCGCCATCCGTGCCTTGTTTGGTAAAGCTAGATGGAGACAAAAGAAAGAGACAAAGACAGTAAGGGAAGAGACAGGGATGGAACAATATGCATCAGCTAACATTACTTTATGCATCTAAAGACAGGCAACATTTTGAGTAACACAAATAAATAAATATATTATATATATTTTAAACATATATACTTTTTTCAGCTTTTATGTTGAAGGGAAATTAATGTATATAAGCTGAAAGACAATTAAAGCTAGCTATATTTCCTCAAAGGGGAACGAGAGAGCAAAATGTTTCCGGGGGGCAGAATTCGTAGCTACGCCCCTGGATTTACAGCGCGATAAAGACAAAGACCTCAATATTAATACCGTTTGTCCCCTAAACAATCTATTTACCTGGTCCTGGAGGATTAGTAGCCATGTCTGTTCAGGTAGCGAGAGGCAGGTCGAAATAACGACGTACAGAAAGGATTATTAGCTAATGGATCACGTTTTATTTGTGTTTCCTTCCACCCAGCTAATGTTGCACTGGTGGATAACGGACAACGATAAAAGTCCCCCTTTGTGATATCACTTAAACTGGAGCTGGTTACACTACACAGTACTTGCTGTTGTAACAGTAACGTTAACTGAAAGTTAAAAATTTGGATAAAACTCTTGCTTATGTACGAATGATGAGACGCATTTTACTTCTTGAAACCAAGAACCGGTTTGTCAGATAGGGGGGTTAGATAGTAGTACAAAATTAAGAGGTGTCACTCTGTTCTACTTCCGGTGATCAAGAAAACGGCACAAAAGACTAGTAAATAAGCATGATAAAAGTATATATATATAGGCATATAACTAAAAATAACTTTAATTAATTAATACATCATATGAGGCCCCGCTTTATTTAGAGTCCAGTATATGCATATTGGAATTCAAGTATAAATCTTGCCTTTGGGAACAATAGTTTGATAAATAAAAAGATACAAATCTAAATTTAAGGTTATTATTATTTCATTCATACTGTGCTTTTTACATGATGTTTCCTGCACTTTATGTTGTGCTGTGGGATGTCACTCGGTTAAAAAATGGGCAGGGTTAGCGGTTTCAATAACAGTTTACTGATCTTCTCAATAGACGATCTTTAGAAAACCATTCGTTGCCCGTTTCCCACGTGATGCATGTGTTTACATCCGGGTTCGTGTAGTTTAACTTCCGGAGCTGCGCAATGGGAGTCAGCTGACAGTAGTAACCAACCAGCGGGTGTAACATATCAACTGAAGAGACACTGAACGGAGGAAAAAAAGACCATCCTCTCTCTATACTTTCCGTTTCTGCAGCGGAGAACCGGACAGCCCTTGTCCCCAGATACCCGGCCACGTCTTCCCGCCTTCCGCAGGATGAGTGTCGGTGCTCCGAGAGGCCTGGCCAGCTCGGGGCAGAAGCCCATCACGGAGATCCTCCACCCGCTATCCGCCGCCGAGGATCAGCTCTCCGGCACCGTCAGCGTCGGAGGGGACAAGGTAGGGTCCGCTGGGGTTGATCCGAGACCGGGTTGAGACCAACCAGATGATGGAGAGAGGAGGTTTAACATACACTAACATGTTTTCAGTGCTTGTGGCTAAATCTATTAAATAAGTAGTAGCAAAGTGATGGAAGTTAAACGGAGAAAACAGGATAAACATTAAACAACGCCTGTCTGGTTAATGTTTGTTCTTCATATTTGCTTTTTAAGCCTTGCTGTTAGAGTTGAGCCTTTAGCTAACTAGATAATGTTATATCTTGTCAAAGGACTTTTTATTACTGTACCGTGTAAACTGGATGTGTTTACACGTGTTGCATAAATGCTGACTCTTATTTACACGTATTTTGGTTAGAAAACAGATTTGTCTCTTTCATCTTTGTGTGCGCGTGTGTGTGTGCTGTGAAACAATGATTTTTTTGTTGTTGTTGTTGCAGTTATTATAGCCAATAAGAGATGCTGTGATACGTTCTTCCAACACGAGGTTACTTTTTTTTTCATTCATGAATATCCAGAGACAAAGAGAACCTCCTCACTAATTGAAAATGTGAAGCCTGTGAGAGTTTCTTTGTTTATGCCACAGACTGTATATCGCCCACGAGCAAGGAGGTAATTGTTCTGGTCTGTTAGTAACAGTCTTTCGACACACTTCAATGAAAGTGGATGGAAATTTAGATTATGGGAACTTGGGAACAGGATTTTCTTAACATTGCATTCTTACCATTTTCCTTTCAACCCTTTTTACTAATATCTAAAGAACTATTATTGACCTGTTAGACAACATCTTGCACATATATCTCATGATTGTCTGTCATTTTGTTTTTTTAACAGATCCAGATTTAACATTTATTACCATTTCTTATTATTAATAAATATATTTTGTGGACTCATATATTATATATTTATTCAGGCATTTTTAGCACCTTCCATAAAAAGTATAATGCATTTAAAATTGTGTAAAGCAAAAACCTAGCTGTGTCATTAGGTTTTTCTTTCTTCTTCTCTCTATACCTTTTTGTATACCTAAAATATAAAATTGCATGCTACGGATACAGTCTTCGCTTCTCATCTTATATCTTGAAGCAGAGGTCGGTGTCATTCAATAGGCCCCTTTTCACCGGAGATATTTTGACATATCGCAGCAGGAAACGCACAGGTGTAAATGGTAAAATTAATAATGGAGTTCCGTTTAGCTGCTTCGGTTTCAGGGTCCCGGGCATGCCGAATACAGCAGAGCCATCGTTAATGTTATTAGTAACACCTGTGGTCTTCCTACTCTGACAAGTCAAAACGTCTGCCTATGATGGTAGTAATGCGGATATGATGACCAACCACGTGCACGTTTTTCAGTTATTTCTGAGCTAAAACTGTCCAATATGTTTTGAAATAACCTTTAAGCCCTGAAATGCAACATTTCAGCTCTATCACAGTACATCAATGACAAGCAGAACTCTACATTATATCCATTCCCTTATCCCAATTATGATTATTATTACATTCATTCATACATCTCCCAACTCAGATGAGCCCCCCCCCCCCCCCCCCCCCCCCCCCCCCCCCCCCTCCCCAGTATATTCTGTCCTTACTGTCTGTCTGAGCGTGGCTGTGCTGCGCTGGCCTGGTTGTTCATTCACAGTGGTGTACTGGTGCAACGCAATGCAATTATCTGAACTGTGATTACCAATGCAGGTTAGTGCCACTGTGTAAAAAGTGCAAGTACAATGTCAGCAGCTTGTGTGTTTCTGTGTCTATACAGTAGCAGAGAGATGCAGAGTGTGTATGTAAGAGTGAGAGACAGAGGGGCAGCACTTTTTTTCACTGAGTGAATTGGAAAGTTGCACAAATCCTCTCCAGG